TAGTATTTTGAGCAAGGCTCGGTAAAATAACTGACTCATTTAAAATAAAAATACAAAATAAAATTTTAAATAAAAAATATAAAATCGATTTAAAAAATTTATTTAAAATATTAAATAAGAAATAGGTTAGAAAAAGTTATTTAAAGTAATAAAATAACTGTTTTATTTTAAATAAAAAAATAAGACACTTATTTAGTTTTTTTGTTACTTTGTACAACTTCTTCTGACTTATTTCTTATTTAATATATATTCACATATTCTAAAACCCATTTTGTATTTTATATTTCCAAATGGAAAAACTACAGCAATTTTACATTTTCTATGTCAAATAGATTCGAGCAGCCATTTTGTCCATCTCTGTTAATAGCTCCACTTTTATAGTTATTAACGCTATATAAATGTATAAATATAATTTTTAATCATAATTATTTTACTATGCGCGCGCCATTACAATCACAAATATTAAATACTTCTCTCTCAATATGGAAAAAGCAAAGAGGGTACTTCCCCTATTCCCTACTGATGGTTTTCGCGGTGTCGCAGGCCCGTGCTACGCCACTGGCGCGAAAATCCGCGCGAAGCGATCCGGCATAAGTCACAATTAACGAAGGCGTTAAGTCGGGGCCCCTATTAATAAGCGTCGTCGAAGCGCTCCTAAAAATAGTTCTAGGAGGCACAAAGCGACAACAGCATCGTCGACGGGACGCGACGCGATGCGACACAGGTTGCCAACGCGTGCATCGGCAGCCTGCGTCGCTAAATGTGCCTATTTTCGCCGTGATGACACATCGTCGCCGATCGGACACAATCGCGAATTAAATAAGAGTTTCTTTCGAATTGAAAGGTCTCTCCTTCGAGTCACCCCTAACAGAAACTCTCATATGGCACAGACGATGTGTATAGTGTTCGTATGTTAACTGGACGCGTTCTCGCGTGTCATATATTTAGGAATTTCTGAAAATCACTCAATCAGAGGATTAATTAAATATAACGGTAATATAATAGACGGGAAATATATTTTCTATATATAAGAATTGATTTGCTAAAATACTTTTCTAGCTTTTGTTACACTAATCAGTCATGTTCTTTCACACCTAGACAGCCTTTCGCCAAAGTGACTTTCTCAGCATTCACTCGGAGAACCATCGGAACGTGTGAGTCAGTTGTAGTGCCAATTGAGTAAACGCTCGATGCTCACGTTATGCAACGTGAAGAAATAAGTTTCTTATCCCTTCAAATATGAACCATAAATATCTGCACATATCTACAAGATATATTATAAATTACTTTATCTTTAAAAATTATTAATTTTCAAACAATAGAATCAAAGGTTATGATCCAAGTTAGGTTTTGGTGCTAGTTGAGGAATAAACATTGACTGCGTTTAGCAGAGAAAAACTAATCAGTTAGCGCTTAGTGATTCTTTAATATAATTGGTTCTTACCTTTTTCGCTGAATCTAAGTGTAGGAATTAATCATATTAAAGAATCATTAAGCGCTAACTAATTAGTTTCCTCTGTTGAACGCAGCCATTAAGTTACAAAAAGAAACATTGAAATAATGGAAATGTTACAGAGAACGCCGTAAAATATGACAAACGTTTCTACTCTCATTAGATTATTTTTAATATCGCGTGCGCGAATACAATGTATATAACAGAGATAAAAAACTTAAAAACGAATATTATAAATGTATAGAAATTAATGACAATTTAATAATTTTGTTTGATGTTTTTCCTCTTCCGGAAATAAAAATTCTTATTTTAATATCTTTTTCGTTTTTATCTTCTTATTTAAAAAAAAAACCTTAAAAATGCGATTTCTGATACGTATTCAAACTTCGTCTTCTGAGCGACACGATCATCGCGATAATTCGCGCGGAAACGCGGAGCCTGGGCGACGTCCTTCTGGGAGAGGAAGAGATCGAGCCTCGTGAGGATGACGTGTGGGTGGAGGATACGAGCCATTTACGCAGCATCCATGACGGCGTACCACGATCGTCGTATCTCTCGTAATCTTCTGGGTGGCGGTCTCTCTCGCGCGCGTAGACTGGGATTCCGCAAAATCTCTTAAATCGACTCGTGGGTGTCGATCCATCGCCGGAGTCGAGGACAAATGAGGAAACGGCCAACTAGCCAAGTCATTTCCACCATTTACGCGGCGCGCCTCGCTTCGCCTCTATCACGAAGTGCTCTCGGTGATCTCTCTCGTCTTTATTCCCGGCAATTATAAATTATTTGTGATTAGCCGGCGTGACTACGCCGGAAGTAGCGACGCGACACGCTCCCTCAGCGACGTGGAGGAGGTTAAGCCTGATTTTCTGTGACAGAGACGCGGGGGCTCCCTACTTGACCCATTTGCTCCGGAGTTGTTTGACGTTTCGCGCCAAAGTCACTACTTCCGAATCATATATTTCACGTATTTGAAAGGTGTTGTGGTTGCAATACATTCCGTCGAAGCATCAATGAATTATCGTACACTTTTCCGCAATATGAATATTTCAGTTTTTTCACGTACAAAATGATACACAGAAAGAATGCTTTTGCAGAAATATTAAAAAATTTAGGTAAATATAGATCCGAAAATAATTTTGTTGGACTACCAAATAATTACGCAAAAACTCATGAGGAGTAATACTTCAAAACTTTTAACATTTTAGCAACTGGCTCGAGTATTTTACATAATTACTTAATGGGTTAATAAAATTATTGTCACAGATCTATATCTAGCTAAATTGTTATATATTTTAAAAAGCCGTCATTTCCGTGTACATGTAGTTAAAAATATTACAATAAGCTATCTAATTATAAATATATATATTATTTAAACAAATATGTAACAATGGCTTGTTTTGTAAGAATTACTTACTGGAAAAGTCTCGAACGAGACGTCAGGTAACCCTGAGTTAACAAAGAAGGCGACAATCGCACGAGATATCCTGCCTGTTGAATGTAGCCTGGCACAATCAAGGGTCGCGCAAGACCGCGATCTTTTTCGAGCCAGTCAAGGCTCGGGGGTTAATGGTACGAGTTTTACTGTCTGCACTCGTTACAAGAACGATATAAAAGGACACATAACAGGCGAGGTGAGATCCGTAACATTGTTACGCATACACAGGACGAGTTCCTAAATCGTAAGTCGTCTCGAACGTAAAGCTCCTTCTACAATTGCATAAAGCATAGTTGTAAGTGGTTGCAGTTGTAAAAATTGACCAATCACAGCTGAATATTCTCTTCATATTCAACTATGATTGGTCAGTTTAACTGCAACCTTACAACTACGCTTACGCAATTGTAGAATGGGCTTATAAAAGCATTCTCTTCTTATGACACTCATGAAGAGATCTTGAAAAATCTTCTAAAACGAAGATAGATAAAAAATTCGTTTATGATATCGAGACATTATTGAAATTAACGAGAGAATAAAGGGCACATAAGAGTCAAATATAATAAAGTATATTAAAATATGAAAAATCAAAAGAAAATATGAACAATATAATATTCTATAATTGATTAAAATATGACATGTTTCGGTCTCACGGTTGAGCCTCCTTCAGATATACATAAAAGGGATGTTACATTAGATGAAAGCAGTCGAAAAGATAGAAAAAAAATATACATAAAGTACGAGGGTCATCTGAAAAGTTTTGAGCCTCATCATGAAGATGGCGTTACTCGTCAAAGCCATTCTAGTATCACAATCGTGATACTTACGAAAGATATCTGTGACAATTGTGGCCACTTTGGACGTTCAGTTCTTGTTTGACAATCATTTGTGTCGTCATTTTGTAAAAATGGAAAAAATTGAATATCGTGCTATAATTAAATTCTTGCATTTGAAAGGCAATACGTCTACGCAAATTAAAACCGAGTTGGACGCTGTTTACGGGGACTCTGCCCCATCATTTGCCACCGTGAAAAGATGGGCAGCTGAATTTAAACGTGGTTCGGGACGGCCAACAACTGCGACCACCACCGATAACATCGAAGAAATTCATCAAATGATAATGGACAACCGTCGAATTAAGATTAGGGAGATAGCAGAGGCTGTTGGCATATCAAAAGAACGTGTTCGTCATATATTGACTGAAAAATTAGGCATGCGTAAGTTAACCGCGCGTTGGGTGCCGCGCTTGCTCACTCTGGATCAAAAACGCACTCGAATGAACATTTCTAAGGCCCTGTTGGAGCGATTTAAGCGAAACGAGTCGGATTTTTTGCGTCGATTAATAACGGTTGATGAAACTTGGGTCCACCACTTCACTCCTAAAACGAAAGAACAATCAAAACAGTGGGGTGCGAAGGGTGAACCTGCTCCGAAGAAAGCGAAGATGGTTTTATCGGCGGGAAAGGTGATGGCGACCGTTTTTTGGGACAGTCGTGGAATTGTGTTGATCGACTATCTTGAAAAAGGTAAAACAATAACAGGGACGTACTACGCATCATTGCTTGATAAGCTGAAGGCAGAAATTGAGAAAAAACAACCGCATTTGAAAAAGAAGAAAGTGCTGTTCCATCGAGATAACGCACCGTCTCACTTTTCGGCGGTCGCTATAGCCAAAATTCACGAATTACGGTTCGAATTAATTGACCATCCACCTTATTCACCAGATTTGGCCCCCAGCGACTTTTTTCTGTTTCCTAGGCTCGAAGTTTGGTTCGGAGGACAGAAATTTTCATCGAACGAGGAGGTCATCGCATCCGTAGACGCCTATTTTGCAAAGCAAGACGCTCAGTTTTTCATTATTTGAATGGATTAAAGGGGTGGGAGCATCGCTGGAAAAAATGTATCGACTTAAAAGGACACTATGTGGAAAAATAAAATTGAATTTGACCGAAAAATTACTTGTTTCTATGTTAGGCTCAAAACTTTTCAGACAACTCTCGTATACTTTATTTGACTCTTATGTACCCTTTAGTCTCTCGTTATTGTTTTTAAATTAAGAGTCCTTCGTTCTTGTTATAACTTATTATTGAGATTCTTCTTCTATATTGATTTCAGAGGCCTTAGGAACTGGAAGTTCCTCGTGGCACAGCGAGGATGGCGGGCCCAACTCGCGTCGCGGCGGCGAGACACCGTCCTCCTGCGCGACGCCGACATCGGCCAGCTTTCCGTCGGAACCCGAGGTTGATGTCGACGTCAGCGTCAATCCCGACGGCAATAACCCCGCTGCTCCGTACCCCTGCCAGTTCTGCGATAGAACGTTCCCGCGGCTCAGCTACCTGAAAAAACATGAACAGGTAAGGGTGATGTTCCTCGATAATTGGATATTCCCGGGCTATTAATAGCTCGTTATTGTTGGAGACAAAGAATGTAAATGTACGTCTAATTCAAATATAGTTATATGCAACGTAAAATGTTTAGAGACAAAAATGTTGAGTCTGTATAGAAGGATCAAGCGTTTTATTTTGTTTTATTTGAAATGATAATATTATATTTCTTATAAGACATGACAATATTTTAGACTATGAATATCAAGGAGGTAGTCATAAAATAAAAAAAAGGTTGAAATATTTTTTAGGAAATTTTATAAATTTAAAACACGTAAAAAAATTTTTCTACAAGAATTTTCTTGCCAAGGTATGTTACTAATTGTTGCTGCATTCCCATAAATACATTTCTGACGTTATTAAAAAATGCTGTGATTTTAAGTATCTCGCGTTCATTTGAAACTGCCTAAGACACAAGGTCGTACGGAAAAAGAAATTAAACCGAAAGGGTTGATGACATTCATGACATTCGTATATTAATATGCGCATCGTGCATAAACCTCTTCTCTCTTCTCGCGCCATGTGAGAAAAAATTCGAGGTGTGATTCCGCGAGGTCGACGAGTCCTGTACACGAGCAAGTTAACGCGTACGTTTCCACGCCGCGAATGTCCTGTGACATGCGAGCGCGAGTGCCATGTCCTGCGGTGAAGAGACGCGTGGCGAGTCCTTTCCTTTGAATTTTTCTGTTTTGCATGGCGGTGGCATTAGCTCGTTCTTCCGCGTCCGAGGCCGGCCGACGCGGGTCATCATCGGGTCAGAATCTGTAGCGTTGTGTCCATAACAGGTTGTACCGGTTATCAGGTTATTCGTCCAGGTGGCGGCCGTCCCTTCAACCTCCTCTTACTTCTTCTTTCGCAACGCGAAAGCCCATTGCTGTGCGTGCGTGCGTGCGTGTGCGTGTGTGTGTGTGTGTGTGTATGCGCGCTGTATAACGCGCAGATATGACTCCGATAATCAAGATGAGTACCCGAGTCTAGGCAGGCAGATAGCTGTCTATTTATGCTACGCACAATGCTAGGTATGCTCTACTGACAATCGCAGCGAATAATCTCAATCCTTGTGGACTTATTGCGAAATTAACGTTGACAGATTCACAAACGGCTGAATTTTGAAGATTCTCAATATATCATGAATTCCAAGATTAATCCTAGAACCTTACCGATATTGGGTAATACTATTGGTACGTTTTTACGTACGAGGAAGTGAGTCACCCTTAACATAAAATTTTCATACATCTCACACCTTTACATGACAACATATTTATAACATAGACTTTTTTATAAATACAAATAATGCATAGGAATAGGAAATAAAGACCCACTACGGTCGAAGCTGGATTTTTAATGCTTAAATGATTCAATGTGAATTTATACACAGTAAAAAACATTTTGCATTTATATTAGAAACGGTCCACTCAAATCTTTGTTAAAATTTTGTTGAATTTTTAATTTGACATATAATTGTGTTATTTGAATATTTTGTGTTAAATTAAAATTTAACATTTCTGCGGTCTGCAACCTATTAACAATCTGAAATACGTTTCACTTGCGACCTGCGACCTACGTTCTACATCTTATGTAGATCGAGCTTTGATAGATGAAGCCAATTGATGCTTTATAGAGAAACAGAAATTGCTCGCAAACAGTTGAACGACTGATTAATTTTATATTTCGAATCTATATTGATGATAGCTCAAAGCGGAGCTGAAACGTCCATAATCATAAAACACTTACGAGATGTTATTATAAATATTTTGTTGTAAATTATTTAAGCACCTCTACACGGTGCAACTCATAATTTAATTCCTTATCTCTAGTTTCTAAAACTTATTTATTGTTAGTCACGCCTCATCGACAATTCATCAACGATACATTTTGACATCCTAATTATAATTATATAGTTCAAATTCCTCATCAAGTTTTTGATATCTGGTTATCATCCGATTATCGAACAGAGCCGAGCACGCAAACCTTCTCGTCGCCATCGGTGAGTCGTCCGGTGGTCGGTGGTCTTTTGCGATCGGCTAAAAGACCGAGGCGGTGATCGCTTCGCCCACTGCTGCACTGCATCGTCCAGATTGTCTCTTCAAAGAAGCCGACGGCTCGAAAGTAGACCGGCACGGTCTTGTCGTACGTGCCAAGCTTACTTACCTTGTCACAACTATTTCGTAGCCAGAGAAGCGGCACGAGAAGCGCTTTAGCTCTGTGAGCGGGAGCTCACAGCACAAAGAAGGTGACCGTATGGAATCATATCGGTCATCGTGATCTGGATGGGTGACGCGTCCCCACAGCCAACGGAGAGTCGACTCTACTTCTTCTTTTTCTTGCTCTGTGAAATTTGTCTCCTCTTGTTCTACCGACTCTTTTTTCTTCTCTCATGTATTTAATAAAGTTTCATGCGGAGTTTCATTGAAACGTTAAAGGGATGCTGGAGTGATGGTCGAACTAGATCGATGTTGTACAGATTTTTTAAATTTCAAATAATACAATATTATTTTGTTCGAGATATAGAACTTTTATATTAAAAATAAACGTCTATGTCAAGTGACAGCTTTACGAGTTGGAAAATGTAAGTTTTTAACTTTTCGATTTTATAAAATCAATTCTGCTCCACTTTCTAATTTTGCATTTACTTCTATCCTGTGTAAAAGGATTTTGGATTCCATTCAATCAAATCGGAGACTTTTATGCAGCTATCAATAATTTTGTTTCTCTAGCATCCTCTCTTAAACATGAACCAGCCAGTTTCTAAATAGGTAGATCAAATATTTAAGGTTATTTCTTCCCAAATTTGGTTGAAATTTCTTGTTTTGTAATTCGTAAATTTAATCTGTGGCTAGTTCTATAGGCATGAATTAAAAGTAACAGTATCGGAGTGTATTACTAACTATTATTATACGGACAGGACGATATTATATATTTTGCAGCATCCAAAAATAGTATAAGTGTAAAAATATATTGGCTTTCAGAAATTTACTTGTAAGTAAACATTTTTCTAAAAGCGAATATAAACGGATAACGTTTCATGTTTACACGTATCTTCGAAAAAAGGAATAAAATCAGAGCCTCACTCTTTAGTATAATATATAATTTTTATACATCTCGTAACTTCTTCTGTATAGTCGAAAAACAGCCAAAATTTAATGTCCTTTTTAAGTATTTTAGGTATTTTAGTAAAATCATTCTATGTTTAACGAGGAAAATATCTAATAAAGATTGTAATTTCTAACTGAGTGATATACACAATTTTTATTGAATTCTATGATTTTTCGGTTAAATTAAGCTTCAAAATAAAATGATCTTTTGGAAAATTTACAATTTTATAATTGTCGATACAATCTCTATATTTTTTATAACTACAATTAATATTATATTCGTTTTAATTTATGTACTTTTTAATTTCTATAATAAACAAAATCCAAAAAATGCCGTAGTGCTATATAATTGTATTGATTGTAGAGTCACGGCGATCAGATGCCATATCGATGCAGTTGGTGCAACAGACTATTCAAACACAAGCGCAGCCGCGATCGTCACGTGAAGTTACACACCGGAGACAGGCGATATCGCTGCTCAAAATGTGAAGCCGCCTTCTCCAGAAGGTAAGCGCAAATCTCTAAATTACTTTACTATCAACCACCAAAATTATCAAGCGATGACTCATAGAAATCGTAAACCGCGTAACTCAAATTTTAAACCTTCTCCCTAAAATGTTTAGAATGAAGGCTCACTTTGAAAAGCGCAGGAATCTCACTTTTAAAGATTGAAAATTGAGCCACTCTTTTTTAAGATTGGCTCAATTTCAACTCTTTAGAATGAGATTCCACTCGAAAGAATTTACAGATTTCGATCCCCGATCGGAAGAATTAAAGAACTTTAATCCTTCCGAATCTTTCTGGCACGTCAATCGACAAATGATCTGATTTACGGATTATGTCATAAAACACACGCATACACACGTATATACAATCAGTATAAAGATCATCAAGGTGTAAAAGAAATAATCGCGCTGGCGCAGCTATAAACGCAACAGATGGCTGAACGAGACACTGCCTCGACGGGGTGCTGCCGGTTGTCGGTGCGCAACGCGCGGGGCCCAACGGGGTCCATCCCATCGGCCGATTCCAGGGGACCCCGATCCAACGGATGACAAATGAGTAATGATCACACGACGATCGCGGTCCCGGGTGGCATTAGTCAAGCTTACTCTCTTACGTGGCCGTTTTCTTTCTTCCTTCCCTCTTCGTACCCTTCTTGTCGCCTAGATGTTTATTCTCCTCTTTCTCACGCATAACGTGTACACTCTTTCCTGTACGCACGCATGTACGTACGCACGCACGCTCGCTCGCTCGGCATTGAATCGTCCTGTGCGTATTGAAATGCTAAGCTGACCCCGCGCGCGAAGCACCTTTTTCTAACTTGACACACGTGCGTATATGCACGCGTGTGCGCGCTCGTATATACGCGGGGCCCCGGGTGAGCGGACAGGTAGGACGTATAGGTGTTACAGGACAACAGGTAGAACATTAGTCAAGTGCCTCGTTGCCGCTCGTCCGCCTTCGCCGGCAGTTAAAGTCGCGCTCGCGACCGATAAATCCCCGCGCGAATCCATTCGTCATCAGCTTTCCTTCATGCGAACAAACCGAAATTCGAAATTTCGCGATCGATCAGAGCAACGAATTTATACTATAAATTAATTTAAATCGCCAACTTTCGATAGATTCGATTTTTATTTTTATATTTTACTTATAACTGTGCGTTATTAATCCGAGAATAGTCATCTGGGATAGTTTTATGCCTCAGCAGCGAGAATAGGTGGTACATGTTGTAAAATATATTGTTTAACATATTGTCTTTCTTTTTTTAATAACTATTCTTTACGAACCTTTAAATCTGCAATTCCATTAAAAAGCCGCAATAAAAAAGCGTTATATTAGTTAAAATTGTTATTTTTTTAGAAATATCGTCGCAATAAGCTTAACGTGTTTATTCGTTTAATTTTTTTTAATTATTGCTTTTACATTTTTTTTTTTTTTTTTCAAAAAATTGTGAATCATAAAATCACGTATCCATGATGTCCTCAAACATTAATAAATCAATAAACAATCAATAATATGTGTTTTTTATTGGTATATATAAAAACCTCAAGTGATCGTTTACATATAAATAAATCAAATGACTATTCTCGGTTTAATTAAAATTAACGATAAAGAAACGATCGATCGCTTTCTACGGAAAGAATGATTTTATTCAAGTGTCTAAAAATTTAGATACAGATCTGGAAATAATTTTTTTGGATCATCAAGAAAATTATGTAGAAAATTTAAGCATGTGTGTAAGCAATGCTGCAAAAAGTTTTGATATTTTAGCAACCTGCTTAAACATCCGACATAATAATTTTGATAGTGCAATAAAATTATTTACTTTCAGATTTGTATCTCTATAGCTAAATTTTTAGATAGTTCAACAAAACCGTTATCTTTCCATGTAAAAACTTTTTGTATCTATTTATAGACTTCTTTCTTTTCTGAAGCTTTCCGACTGGAAATATTCTAGTAAAGTCCTAACAAGTCTTTGCTCCTCACTTGTCAGCCGCTATTATAATCGCACAGCCAGATCTTTACGCCACGTCTCTATTCGTCCTCCCACCTTAACTGTCGGTTTGGGTGACCCAACAAAAGGGTGAAAATCTCCGTGGTTCTCACGTCAAGTGTTCAGCGCGAGAGAGATCTGATCTCGGCTCTTAACCGAGACTTTTGCTTATGACAGATTGCAAACACGCAACAATGTATCATTTCGATCGTATCATTATACCTTCTCGAGGATAATTTCCAATAAGGTTAAAACATTAGAAATCTATTCATACGGTTTGAAAAACGAAATCTAATCCAGCAACACGTTGGGAACAAATTATCTTATTTGTTACACATTTTTAATTTTTAAAATTTTCTTTTTCCACAAACTTTTCAAGAAAAAGTATATCGTTCCCTTTCTTCAAAAGTGGCACAACTAAAAAAATTAAGTTCTTCAAAAAAAGGGAAAACTATTTTTCAACTTGACAAAAAATTGATTAGTTAAATATCCACAAAAAGAATATATTCTTAACATAATAATCAAATGTCATTTTTGTTATTTGTCATTTTATTTTCGTTTCACAACCCTTAAAAACCATCCTTTTTAAGATGTGACAATTTTTATGATTTTTTTTTTGTGGAATTAAGTTAGTTCCATGGTGTAATAAAGAAGAGGTGTGCTCGTGAGGTACACCAAATTTAACGCTTTTCTTGTTATATATTCAATGAAGATAGAACGCACATTAGCGCTGATTAGCGCTGAAAGCGCGCTCTCGAATCGCAGGTATCAGATACACTTAGGCTGCTTTCCTTTTAGAGGACACACTCGACACAAACATAATTTTATCTTATTTGATATTCAATGAATGATAAAGATAGAACGATAATTGTGTTGACTGTGTCTCCTAAAAGGAAAGCAGCCTTACTAGATGGCAGTTCAATATGTGACACTTGCAACGCCACAATTGCATTTGGGATGTATCTCTTAAGAAAGAGGGATAATTTGTGATTATGGTCTTAATTTGGGATAAAATTTGGGACGCGTTATAAAAAGGGATAAAAGGTTAAAATTTGGGCTTGTCTCTCCCAATTTGGAACGGTTGGTCACTAGAAAATGTATAGGCAATCGAACTATAGACAATAATATATTTAGGCAAATGTGACTTTGTTTCTGAAATTTTTACTTGTGCGCAAAAGTGCTTGCATATAAGCAATCGAGCTGTGGGCAATAATTCATGTAGACAATAATACATGTAGGCAATAATACATATATGTAGACAAATGTGACTTTGTTTCTGAAATTTTTAGTTGTGCGCAAAAGTGAATTTAGGCAAACGATGCTGTAGGCAATCAATATGTAAGCAAACGGGATCCTCCCGATACAAACCTGAAAATAATTTTGTTGATTTATCAAAATAATTTTGTAGGACGTTCAAATTAATTGTTTAAAGTGTCAACACTTTTTACAGCACTACTCTTCATGTTTAAAATTTCTATATAATTATTTTGATAATCCAACAAAATTATTTTTAAATTTCTGACTAATTTTTCAATAATTTCTATCTAAATTTTTAGTTATTTCGACAAAATCGTTCTATTCATGTAGACATAAATTGTGATAAATGATATTAATCATTTCAAAAAACCAATAAAAAAAATATACAAGTCGAGATTAGATGATTTATAGAACAAACGACTTTGTGTATTTGAATCTTTACAAAACAAATGTTTCGAGATTAATGAAAGTAGAAATCGAGACCGTTGTTGCACCCACGAATCACCACGACAGGATGATTCTTTGAACTGTCGAGGGTGGAGTTTAACGGACCATTTATTTCCATTTCCTTGCAGCACCCCAAACGCATCTTCTTCTTCTTATGTAATGGCTGCTCGCCATTACTTGAATTTTACATTCTTGCAAGGATTAAACAGTCAAATCATTACAAAAGTTCTATGTCACTTTCTTTCTATGGCTAAATAGTTTTTGGCATTGCAATTATAATAAGTAATTATAACCCTTACGCACGTAATTATTGTTTAATTTCTCTCTTTTGGTACATTTCTCTAACAATTTTATCAATGTAATTGAAAAAAATCCGATACCCAAAGGGTTCAATATTTATTTTAATTTCATCACTTTAATTTATAATTTAACGAAATTATCATATCTAAAGTATGTGAAAGACAAAGAGATAGTGTAGTAGAGAGGAAAAGTAAGAAGAAACGTGTTTTTATAAACATATGAATGCGTCCGAAGTGAATACCCGCACTTAGTAAATGTTAAACTAAATTTCTCAGTCAGATTTAACATTTTTGGGGATAAATTATTTTATATTATTATATTTTAGTTAAATTAATAACATTACTAAATATGGCGACCTATAAGAACGACTAAAAATAACTAAAATTAGGAATAACTCGAAATTACGAATTTAACAATAATGAAAAAGTAACAATACCAATAAACATCGGCAGAGGGATATATACTCCGCGTTTGAATGTCCTACCATTCTAATGTCATCTCCCATCGCCTCGTCGAAGGTAACACGTCGGCGAAACGCCATATAATATCGGCATCAAAACAGAAATACGCGACTAATATTTAATACAGGCTCGTCACTGATGCAGACTCATCGTTGATCCATTCTCTTCGTTAAGCGAGCACGACGCTTTTGAGTCGTTCTTTTTCAGCTTGCTTTTTTTTTTTACTTTTTTCCCCATTTTTATTTCTCCTCGCATCGTCATCAGTCGCGCTTGGTCGGCCGCGAAACGATATGCTCGATAATAGGACAGCCGCGGTTCACCCGGGCGATAATCCTGGTGGCGCATGAATAATTCAGGCGCAAAGTGCAGGAGTAAATTCGCCGTCTGTCTTCGTTTCAGCGTGCCGAGACAGCTCGCTTGACCATCGCACCTCCGCCGTTCGCCTCTTCGTTCGGACCTCGCGGACCCGATCTCGCCTTAAACGCCCGCAGATTCAGTTTTCCGCCACACTGCCGGCCTGGACATACACACTAGCCACAGAATGAATTATTCATTAGCCGGGTCTACCGCGAAAATCGCCGGAGTTGTTACACAGACTCGACCCGTTCAAAATCTTCGCGTTCTCTCGATGTTATATATTCAATATCGGCGTTATAAATACATCGATGTACGGCTTTACATATATATATCGATGTGCTCTTCTTGTTACAATAAATAAAATGTCGTTTTTTTATCGTAGAGATTTAAGACTCGTCCATTCCGCGTGAGCCTCGAAAATAATTACTCTAAACTCGATATGTTCGGAATATCTATATTTATTCATACCGGTCCTAATAGAAAAACACATCTTTGGTACACGTATCTTCAACGAAGTGAATTGTGATAAAAATATGACACGAGATAGATCCGTAGCTGATGAAAATTTTTCACAGTTCATCGAAACCTTAATTCTGCAAAAAACATGATAAATAAACTCGCGGACCGTATTAGTTTTAGTCGTATTTATTCTTATCAATTGGCGATCGCGTCTAACGAAGAGACTGAGGTCGATGGTTTGAAATAATATAAATTATTTTTCTCATTTGTTCACCGAAGGTTTGCAAACAATACTTTTGTTTTACCTTGTTTTTGTGACATTACGAAAATCCTGTTTAATTAAAAAAAGAATTGCACAGATTGAAAATAATAGTTAATATCCAGAGTAAGAAGTAACTTATAAGTTAGAATTACCTTTTCTCAATAATTGTAATTTGATTTTGTTCCTTTTTCCGTCTACACTGAGAGAAAAACTGTTTGGTATTTGTAACTATAATTATATATTATTATAGGTAATTATAATTATGACTACTATAGTATTAATAACTATAAACACAGTTCTATATCAATCAATATATATTAATCAATACAAGAACTTTAATTAAATGTCTATTACGGTCAGAGCTAGATCTTCGTTGCTTTAAAATAATTCAATCTTGAATTACTAATATATACTATATATGTACTTGCATATATACCATATTGTAGTCTTTTTCTAACTGCGCGCCGAATTGTTTTTCCGGACTAAATAAACGCAATTAAAACTACTCTAGTAATCGCGAATTAAATTGACAAGACAAGCAATTTTAATGATTCGATGCTACCATCAAGCATCATATATTATAAAGATGTTAATATATTAAAACTGTTAATAAATTTATTGCGAAAAATATTACCTCGGCCGGGACTTGAACCCGGATCTCTTGTAAACCGTACGAGCGTCCTGAGCCATTAGACTACTGGCTCCTTTTTTCCTAATTTCTGTGACAAGTAAAAGAGAGTGATTTTTTTTTTCAAATTCACTACAGTCTTATTTTTTTAAATGAAAAAGTTAAATAAATTAGAAATTTTTTTTTATTTATATTTTTTATGGATGTGTTAATTTCGTCATTTTGTTCCCATACCTACGTGGGTAAGATGATTTTCAATAATGGATAAGATGACGAAAAGTTAATTTTCAAAAAATAAAAATGTCCCCTTAATTCTCTATATAAAACTCGTATAGTTGTCACATTGAGAAAAATGTCCTGTCTAAACCAACAAAAAAATCCAGCAAGAATGGCGTTTTAGTGAAATCAAATATAGAATTCCTGGTTTCATAATCAGAAATTTGATTCAGTCTCATCAAAATATCATTCTTGTTGGTGCTTTTTGTTGCTTTAATTGGAACATTTTTCTCAGCTATTTATAATTACCATGATCATCACTATGTTTTTCTCTGAGTGTGGATGCAACGCTAATACGTCAAAGAATAAGCGTTTCATTAATGGAACGCTTAATTAGCGTTCGAGGGGGGAAAATTTTCATACAAGTTGCAACGAGCTTCATCCGTCCATCTTTATTAAGTTTTTCGCATTGTGCTCTTAACAGAATCGCCGTCGTTTAATTCTTTCCGTTAGATACGGACTTGTCGATCGCATCGCTGATAAAATCCAATCAGATATTAAACGCCAGTACCCCGCTTCGAATTGGCTTGAAGTTACCGAATCGCCGATAAATTAACATCATTGATCACATCCTACGATATTATTAAAGATCGCCGCGCTATCCGATAGCTTTATGTCCAACTTCCGCGGTGAAAATCGAAATATCTTCACGAAGCGAATCTATTTTCAAGTGTGATTGACAGCGCGGTGTTCCTGATGAGCCTTAATATACATGGACTCGTCACGTATTACAGGAAATAGAATTTCCTGAATTAGATCCCCGATCTGTACAACGAAAGGCAATTTAGCGGTTTAAAGATAAGTTGGTCTATAGCACCGGTCATCTATTCCAAGAATGGTATTTGACGATCGGATATTAGTATTGTATAGAAAACGGTTAAGTTAGTTTTAAAATAGAGAAGAGACCACGCTATATACCATTTTTTGTTTCGCTTTTAAAATACATTGATAAATTAATGGACAGATGGATAAATACCATTTTATTAAGTACTAGGTACATCATCTTTAAAATCTGTAAAAGTGTTATTCTCAATTTGTACGGTTAATAAATTTTTGGTGAAGTGTTTTCTAATACGTATAAATATATAAAGAACACATTCATGATTATTTGAAATAGAATGTATCCATGTAACATATTTTCAAAATAATTAAAAATTTATGAAAAAATGACAGATTATTATTACATACAGTAATTTAGAATTTTCTTGACAATTTAGTGCATCCTTAAGTACAACGCTGCTTTGATTACGTTTACTATTACGAATTTTCGAACATAAGAATGTTCCGTTTCTCCAGCGATCACCTGAAAATCCACTTGAAGACACACGACACCCAAAGGCCTTACCAATGCACGGCTTGCACGAGAGGCTATAGCTCAGCCGCTGCCTTGACATCGCACATGCAATCTCACAAGAAGCATCACCAGTCATCGTCTTCTCAATCAGCTGGCAAGGACGTCGATTACGGTAGGAGAAGTGTCTCCTCGCACAGCACGTCATCACCGCCGGTACCGTCGTCGCCGTCGCCGTCGTTGAATCTCAGTCTGAATTCGAGGAATGTCCTGAAGACGTCGCAGGGTACTGGTAGTACTTCTACTACACCGATTCTCAACTCACCCCTGAAACTCGCTTGCATGTACTGCACCCGAGATTCGTTCAGCTGCATGCAGCAGCTGCAGATGCACGTACGCACGATGCATCAGGCAATCCTTAGCGGCGCGGAGAGTTTGGCGCGACCACCGTCGCCGAGCAGAACGTCGAACGAGCAGCAAACAGTGTTCTGCTCGCGCGACAAGTCCGATCGTCAGGACGGCTCAAAGGACCCACGCTCAGATCGGAAATACCCACCCGAGGAAAGAGCCGATAGGCCTGCAGGCGAACGAGACCACTACGAGAACGCGTTTACCTGCGACCAATGTACTATGAAATTCTCCACTCTGGCCTGCTTGCGCGATCATTCGCTGTCGATACACCGAGTGGACAGTGGTTTCAGCGCGACAATGGTGATATGCCCGTTGTGTGGTATTCCGTGCACTTCAACAGCAGCCTATGCCGAGCACTATGTTCTCCAACACTGCGAAAATCGTCGCCCTGCGCAGACAACTAGTATAGATTATAGTGAAACGAAACTGAACGGCGTTTACAACAGTACCCCAGCGAGAGACTCCAGAATGCCGAGAAGCAGAGATACCCCGGAAGCCGCTGATCTCACAAATAAACGTCCGACCCGGTCATCCGCGGACGCCGCTGGTAGCTATACCGCTGACACTCTGTTATGCGGCCAATGCGACGCCGCACTGAAGGATTTCGAATCCTTTCGCGAACACGTGGCTAGGCACCTGCAGGCCGACCACCGTAATCAGGAGATGTCCAACAGGCAACATTTGTGCCCCAAGTGCGAGACGGTTTTCCCGTCTCGTGAAGACATGCTGGCCCATCTGACCAAGCATTACCTAGGACAGATCAGCAAAGAATTCGTATGCGGCGCCTGTAAGAAGTTCTACCCGCATCCAGATCAGCTTCAAAGACACTTGCTGGAAGCTCATGCGCATCATCTGTACCGTTGCGCTCTGTGTCGGGACACGTTCGACTCCAAGGTAGCGATACAGGTGCACTTTGCAGTCAAGCACAGCCAAGAGTGTCGGATCTATCGATGTAGTGTATGTACGTTGTCCAACAACGAAAACTCGCCACCGGGAACAAACGCGGCTCACGGCGACAACAGGAGCTTCTTTAGAAGCGAAGCCGAGATGGCGGCCCATGTGCGTAACGTGCATGCGCCTCCTCCCGTCGTTCCCTCCTTAACGAACAATAGTCCTATCAGAGCAACAACAAGAAGTCCAGCTTCGACGCCTGGTATTATCACAACGCGCTGCGTCTTTTGCGGAACCTGCTGCAGTTCAGAACTTGAACTTCAGCTTCACCTGGCCAGTCACTCGGCCAGTCTTTATAGATGTCCCATTTGTAGAGAAGGTTTCGCGGTGGAGTTCCTGTTGGATCGACATGTCGCTCAGGTTCATCATCAGACAACGCAAGATCACCAAGTGCCGTCAGTTAGAAACAGGGAGAACGGACGCGTTCATCGACCGACCAGAAATCAGGATGAAGTAAGTCTTGTTGCGATAAAAAAAAATGTTGGAAAAAATGTGTCGAATTTAATAGAAACCGCATGTCGCAAACGATCCATTCCAATTTTTTTGTTAATTTAACAAAAAATGAATATATTAGAATTTAGCATTCAGATTATCAAGCTGAACATCGAGCCGCGAGCCAAGCCTGTGTCCACATTCAAAGATTTGATGTGAATTTGTATTCATTTCGATAATGTGGATGTAGGATCTTTGAATATGAATGCACAGGCTCAAGTCCGTCCAGACTCGATAGTCTGGACGTACCCTTGGAAAGTTATACGAATATTATGTAAGGGAATAAATAGAAAAAAAGGTAATATTGATACAGTTTGTAAACAAAACGTGGAAGCATTTTTTTTTTCAAAAAATTTACATTTATAATATGTTAAATTAACACGTATTTCGTTTATTTGTTTTAGAATTTATATTTTGAAACACATTTTTATGTTACTTGTTTACTTACTCATAAATTGTGTCAAAGGCTTTATTATAGTGTTTTAAAAAGCTATTGACACCAGCTATTAGAAAAAGCTATTGACACCAGCTATTAGATTCTGAAATAAAAAATAAGATGTTACATTTAAAAAAATTGATTTGATCTTGACCTGACCTCGGTGATGCCACCGAAGATTAAATTGATGAGGTCAATAGAGAGAATAGATCATTTTAAACCCACCACTTTTGTATGAAACATTTTTCTCAGAAATGCTTATTTTTTAAGATGGTTTAAGGGGTTCGGGATTTTTTGTACACCTTGAATATTAAGAAGGAATTCTTTCCTTCTGTAATACAAAGATATTCTATACGTATAATTAAAAAGTATTCATAAGATTGTTCGCAAAATGATTTTCTTCCTAAATCCTAGACAAAATCTCTGAAGAGGGGCCGTTCACCAGCTTCAAGCAACAATAACTCCCTGAATCAGCGCGACAATAACAACAAACGTTCGAATTATGGTACTTCCGGTCAGCAATGCGAACTCTGCGAACGCGGTGAATTCGCAAACGAGGCCGAGCTGCAAGCACATAAAAAACTAGCTCATACGCCCCCCAAGCTATCCAACAAGGCTCTATCTACCTTGAGCATGACGTGTGGATATTGTGGCGAAGTTTGTCGCTCGCGAAACGAGCTGGAATCTCACACGAGGATTCAACACGCATCTAACGAGTCCAGTGGACGTCACAAATGCAATATCTGCGACGAAGTATGCCCGTCCGGCGCGAATCTGGCCGAGCACAAGCTCCAGAAGCATTGCAAGATCCAGCTGAGCGACACGTGCGTGGTGTGTCGTGGTTGTCTCACGTCGGAAAGTCAGTTTCTGGACCACGTGCAGAGACACAGCCTGGATAATGTGGATCCGCAACAACGACTGGACAATACGTTGCCTCATCTGCCCGCTCCATGCGTTGTTTGTCGGCAGACCTTGATCAGCGATTTGGAATGTCGTCTGCACGCGCGGCATCACCTACGAACGTCCTCAAGTTTGCGCAGTGCCGGTTCCAGCCCGACTAGTCCTGGTGGTGATAAAGGTCAAAATCAAGGTTGCTGTCTCTGCTTGCGCGACTTTGCAGCCGAGGACTTTGTCAATCTACCACCCAATCCTGCCAGTACAAGCGGACAGCTGCTCAGAGTCTGTAAACCGTGTTACATGCGACACTCTCAGGGACTGCCTATTCTGAACTCGACGACCTATGAACATAGGGCGAAATACGAGACGACTTGGCTCGCGAGCAAGGACGGCCAGTGGGACGAAACTAAGGATAAGTGGGAGCACGAGAGAGGACTCAAAGTAGAGGACCGATCCAGGAACGGAGGAAACGCGAATAAGAAAAGGTGCGAAGATTGCGGGGTGAAGTTTGAAGATTTCGAAGAAGCAGAGAAGCACAGGATCACCGATCACGAAAAAGCTGTCAGCGGTGGCTCGAATACCTACACCTGCATACAGTGTCAAGTTAGTATAGAATATTTTACGTAATTTTAACAAGAGTTGGATGATGTAATATAAAATCTGAGACATGCCAATAAAAACATTCAATTTTCACTTTGTTGAAATAATGATAATAAAGAAACGTCAAAAAATAAAAAATGTATTATTAATTAATTAAAATATTTCTACATTACATATTTATATTTTTTTTAAATCTGTATAAGATTTTCGCCGCAAAGCATTAAAACGTTACTTCGGCAAGATTTGATAAGTTTATGTGTTAAAAGCTGAAATTTTGAAGGTGAATATTTCCATTTCAGCATCACTAGGATCTTTGAAATTTTAACCATATATAGATAAAATTATTTTAAACAAAATATCCAAATTTCACAAAAATCTGTAGAAACTCAATTTCTCGGAGAAATACTTTAAAGTAAAGAATTTGTGTCCGACTTTTTTTTCACACGAAGTGAAGTTTACCCTCCCCCTATCTAGAGACAAGGTGAAACATCATGTAAAACGAGACTCACCTCATACTGAAATATTAGTACCTTCTGTTTAAAAATTGCATACCATTCATAAAAATTTTGTTAAGATCTTTTTAATTGACAATATACGACGGAAGAGGTCGATAATCTTGACTTCCTTGAGGATCAAGATCACTCAAAGGTCATTTGAAGTTGACTGTGTAAACGGAAAGTTTTACTCAATAATGTTCTTAAAATTATATCTTCAAGAATGTGAATATAGTTTTCAAGGTAAAATACTAAAATTCTTAGGTGTCATTTTCAACTGAAGCCAAGATTCAGCAACACGTGAGGAAAAAACATTTGGAGGCATCCGGAAAAGCTTCCTTGGAGGCTTTACGTTGTCACTTGTGCTTATTCGAGGCCGCCAGTCCTATGCAGCTACAAATTCACTTAATAGAGCACACTTTCGCCGGTTGTGCCGCTCTTAGCTGTTACATCTGCCAGTCGCTCTTCACAACTCCCATTGGTCTTCAGGTAATTTAACCGTCTATTGATATATCTCAAACGTAAAGTAATAGTTATTCACTCATGTTTGTGATCGTGAGCTCTTAGAGCGTGTCGTGTCCAAAAGTTAAGTTTTTATTGATAAACTCTTTTTGTCAATAACTTTTTAAGGAGCGACGGCTAAAATTTGTCCAAAGTCACTCAGGGTCATGACCTTGACAATATATGTCAAGGTCAAGGTCATTGCAAAGTAGTTCCCTATACTGCATAATTAATAAAGTTCTTATTGAAGATTTAAATAAGAAAAATTATAAGTTTTTTTCGCCTTCAACAAAAAAAATTTCAACTAGATAACAACTTTTGCCAAAGAGTTATTCAGATATCATATAGCAAACCAGGAATTTATTATTTCATCTTTTTATTCATGCACAAACAATGCATCTGTTCGCAGAATCATATGCTGCAAGAACACGGACTAGACGCGAGACCGTACGATTGCTCCAAGTGCACACTCAAATTCTTCTTCAGCGCGGAACTGGATCACCACGTACTGACCTTTCACCGTCCGGGAGAAGAGATCCACCCTTCGTCAGTCGAGAGCGCTCATGAGACCAAGACTCGCGAGCCGAAGAAGCGCAACGACGATGTAACGGTGAAGGAGGAAGTAGTGCAAGGCGGTAAGGAAAAGGAGGAAGAGGAGGAGGAGGAAGTGGACGTGGATCAGGTGGGGCATCACGAAGAGGCTGAACGAAATGAACAGAAACTGAAGATAGAAGTAGACAACGAGGCGACATCCGGCAGGATGGAATCGTGACTTTCTTCAGTCAGCGTTACATTTCGTTCCATTTTAGGATTAATTGATTATTAATAATTGATTATTCAATTATTAAGTTTGCTACCATCATTTTAAGCCTCATTTACAATAATCGCGCAGGCTTCGTCGTATATTGTGAGTAGTAATGCCGCAGGAAAATTTATCACATGTCATGAAAATGTCGCTAGATGAGTATGTTCGACAGCAAAAAAATACACAAAAAACCAACTAGCAACACAGGAAATTGTCAATGATCGTTGACAAACTTCTGCCGCCAAACTAGCTGTGTTTTGATTGGCTGAGTTTATGCGATATGCTTGTCACAGTCGCAAAAAATTGAAATTGGCTCAATTCTATACAATATGAATTTTTGCAACTCGCAATCGTATAATTAGAAAAAAAACAGCACTTCTCCAAAATTCTCATACGACAGTCTGTACGGCTATTGTAAACGAGGCTTTAAAAGACGGATATTCTTTACAACGAAGTCTCGTAAATATCGACTTGCGGACAGGCCTGATGAAGTTCGATACAGTATTAATTAAGAATATTATCGGGGAAAATTGCCGTTCTTATAATTATTCCAAATGGTTGGTTTCTTACATATCGGTAAGAAAACTTCGATATAATTCGTTACACGATATAAGATTGCTTTTTTAACATTTTTTTCTCAGATCTTTATATCAATTTGGTGTTTAGACGCCGAATATCCACATTTTCAAGAAACATAGATTTATTTATGCTTATGATTGTGATTGTAGAAATACAACATGCAAGTTGTTATTGTTTTTCTTTTCTGAATACTTCGATGAATGAGAGAGAGAGAGAGAGAGAGATTTGGCTGCTCGACCAACTGCCAAAGTTAAAGCAATCATAATGTACATTTTAGACCCAATTAAACTAACATTACTTTGAGCGAGATTTAAAACTCTCTTTCTTTAATGCCGAGAGAGATAGATAAGGACAGAGTTTTAAGCCTTACTTAAAGTCAAAGTAACATGTTGGTGCAATCGGGTTTTAAATGTATGTATGTACACTTATATACATATGTATATATCAGTACTAAACTTGTTAAATTTATATTATATATATGTTACTGTCTAAACTTTGAAAACTGAAAGAAAGAAATTTTTTCAATGCGTGCCACATCAACAAGAATATCAACAAGAATATAATATCAATGTTATTTCACACCTTCAACAATATAAATATAGTACATGTTACATACATAACAGTTATATAGTTGAATGTGTATATGAAATGATTACATTGAAGTTATATTACTATAAGTTGACGTTTATTAAGATGCTAGATATTGACGCACAAAATCGATTTTTAATCTGTTCATAAACGCAAAACATTTCAGTCTGTCTTGATAGACAAATTCTTTTCATTTACAGTATACTCTTAGAAAAGTTGTTTGTAGAAAAGTTTTGAAAATCGAAGTTATAAAAAAGATATTAAATTATTAAGTACATTAAATTCTCCATTTCTTTTATTTTTATACATATAATATTACGTTTGTAACATTAAACGCAAATATATAATAGATATTAATATTAAACGTTAATATTGAACGTTTTATGGTATTGTTTTGTTAATTTCTAATTGTGTTCCATATATGTGAAACGATTGTTTGACGATTAATTACAATTGATTTGTTATAATGGGTGTTGAACTCGATAAGATAATAATCTCTATCTTCGTGAACAAAATTTGTAAATATTACGCAAATAACAAAATATATATTATAAATATTCCATCAATTTATATTAACGATGCATAAGCGATAAGATGATCGATATTTAAGAGCAGATGCAATAACCTGTCCATTAGACATATAATAATAAATAATAGTTCTGTATGAAGTAAGTTATTGTTTCGGAAATCGTACTGTATGTACAGTAACTTGTCCATTAGGCATATATAACCTCTAATAAGATAATTATATACGAATAAATTATTGTTCTAAATTGGTCTAATCGTCTATCTTTTCCTAAATTATTTCACGTCTTTGGTCATGACAATTTGATTGATAAATAATTAGAAAATGCACGCAAAAAGAAAATTGCGTACTATGATTTCCCGTAAAAGGAAACGGAACTCTGGTGGAAATAAATCGCTGAAATCGATCTATGTCAATTGACCTATTTCAGTATAAATTATTAGGAGCGTGGCGATCGTTTCTTGTTGCCATCGCTTAATACGGTACTTACGCTTCTTCTAGCATATGTTCTGTGAGGTGCCACTCACGGCGCGATTCCAGACAACGGCGCTATTGTCAGATACGGTCGAATTCAATAACTCGTCGATTTTTCTTGCAAGCGAATCAAACCTTTCTTGGACGTTGGTAAACTCATCCTTATGGTTGTCGTTCGGTACAACCAATCGGAAAACAGGATTCCGATGGATTTTGCATCGGACTCCTGTTTTCTGATTGGTTGCAGAAAGTCGTACGACGCAAATCGGATGCAGGGTGAATCCAGCATAAGGCTTAAGCCTTAAACACAATAGGCACAGGCAACAGGGAATAACGAGCCGTCCAATCAGAGCTCTGGGATATAATATCGAACTTGCACATCAGAGCTCTGATTGGATGGCTCGTTATTCCCTGTTGCGCCTGTGCTTATTATGTTTAAGCCTTTATTGTGAGGAGCCCCTAAGCGTATATGAGAGTTTTGCGATTCGAACGCCACCTACCGAGCACCACCAATACCAATTCAGAAACCTGATTTTGACCACACTTTTCAAAGCTTAGTTCGGCCTCCTATTCTCTATACTCCATGACCAGTACAATCGAATACCATACTTACCGACAAACACGAAGGAGAGCAAGGTTTATATTAGCCTTGTGATTCTTCGTCGGTGGCGTTAATGGCAAGAGACATCTCACTGCGTTTGCGCAAAACATACGTACGTACACACACATACGTTGCACTTAATTCAGCTGTGTCCGATCTGCACCAGTCTGCACTGAACTGCACCGAACCGCACTGTCCACACTCGTGTTACTCGTGTACCATCGTGTACGCGTGCGTTCGCATATCTGACGACGGTGGAAACGAGACGCGTTTCTGCCCGTAATCAAGACTCCGACTGAAGGCGTCGGTTGAAGCCACCAACAGTAGCCGATGCGCAATGACAGGATTTACGGAGAGCGCCTTGGTCAAACGGTTAATGGATCTGAATCCGTCGCAGCAGAGTATCCAGACGCTCTCGCTCTGGCTGATACATCACAGAAAACACCATCCGACCATCGTGAAGATTTGGTACAAGGAAATGTGCAAAGGTACGAGTGACCTACGAATAATGTTCTCGATTGTTCTCTCCGCCGAAATCGAAACGTCCTAAGCCCGATGATAAGCGGAAGGACATCCCCGCGATGCACGTTGTCTCAGGCGAGCGTCATTTCTTAATTTCTAAGTTACAAACCAATTTAAATACGAACCGAATTGTTGCAATTGTGACCATTTAATATTTAAATAAAAATAGAAGTTTAATAAACACGTCTTGATACATCTTTCCCTTATCGATATCTTAAAGGATTAATTAATAACGTTTTTGTGCAACATTCACCAAAATAAATATCTGCCTAATCTTTAATTGGAATTAGCTTTCCAACCCATGGTTACATATTTTGGATAGATATTGATTTCAGTAGATTGCTTGAAAGCATTCTTAATTGATCCTTAATGTACATTTCTATCAATTTAAATTATCTTCATTGATTTTAATTTATTCCTTTATCTTCTTCTAATTCTTAGAACTAGTAGAAAATAAAGAATAAATTGAATTAATTAAAGTTAATCTGCATTGATAAAAATGGACATAAGACATTGATGAAGGAAGAATATATTATATAAAAAGAAATACTGTTTACGCACTTGTCAAATTTCTATATGTAAATATTAAATGGTATTTTTGAAATATGTTTAATATTGCTGCCTCCTTTTGGACTTTGAGCAAAAATAATAATAACAAGAAAGTGATATGCTTAATTCCTTGTTACAAAAGTACATAATTTAATGGTGATAATATTTGAATTTATTATAAGGCAAATAAGTGAATAATTAGAATACTTTAAGGTACATTCAGTTAAATAGTTGAAACAAATCATTACATTATAGCAATAGAAATATTTATATAATCTTATATATTATTATTTGGACAATTATAATTTTCCTAAGACTTTTTATGCAAAAGTTATCGGTGCAAATTTTAATATTTCCTATATACATTTTTACAGTGAAAGGCAATCGCAAGTTGACGTTTATGTATCTGGCAAATGACGTCATCCAAAATAGTAAGAAAAAAGGACCAGAGTTTGGAAAGGAATTCGAGACGGTCTTACCCAAAGCCTTTGAGCATATGAAGGGTTTTGATGAAAAAACAAGAGAACGGTTAAATAGGTTACTACAGATATGGGAAGAGAGGGGGGTTTATGACAAGGCACAGATAACTGAATTTAAAACAGCTTTTGCAGAATCTGAGAAGGATTCCGCAGCACCGCCCAAAAAGAAGGCAAAAGTTGAAGTAGAAAAAATAAAGGTATGTATTCTTAAATCATATTGAGAGCTCCTAATATATAATTAAAATTTTCAGTTTGAAAATAATGGAAGTACATTTGAAGGCATAGTGATATGAAAGCAACTGAATTTATGTAAAAAAAAATCTGTAACAAGATATATTTAATAATTAATTAACTTTTATATATAAAATTTCTCTAGTTGTGATTTGTTTTCAAACTAACTGAATCAAATGCCACGAACAAAAAGTATGAAGTTTACATATGTCTGTTGTGCTTTACAGAAAGAGAAAGATAGGAAAAAGTCAGAGACCGAAGTAGAAGTGGACGGCACCAAAGAACTTCATGTAACATTGAGCCCAAGGACCCCTGGTGGCGATCCACCAGAAACCGAGGAACTCATCAAGGCCTTAATGGTTAATATAAATTATACAAGCAACAATCATGATAAGGAATTTGTATCGTTAGCAATAAAATATTTTGTTCATGTGAAAATACATGTTGAATCCATGAGGCATCAGCAGACGCTTTAACAACTCTGACATCCACCCTATCGATTTTATATACTTTGTTTAGATATGTTGCCATATTCTTTCATAGTTCAAATATAATATTCTTTATTTGCATATTCTTTTTTGTTCCTCGAAAGCTTCACTTTTGCGAAGTACATCGAGCGGATGCTGATTCTTTAGTAATTAATCAATGTTTTGCTTCAGTACATGAAATATTACTTTTTTTGTTGCTCTTAGAATTTTTTTAATTGACCAATTTTGTTATTAATCGCGTTGTAGCAACATGCTATGTGTTTTACAGTGCCTTCTTTAAGAGACACAAAGTCTATTCTTTTTCGAAGAATTTTCTGAACTGATATACATTAATATAATAAGTGGAATGAAACAAATATTTGTTTCATCCAATTTATTGCACTAATATATATTAGTTCAAAAAATTCTTTGAAAAAAATCATACTACATCTTGTGTAG